AATATATAATCAACATAATGTGTATACTTCATTGAATTTAAAAGTTTCGAACTGATCATGATCTTGAGATATAAGTTGTCTTACAAATATTTAAAACCTTATGTAACTATATAGGATTTGAACGCACCAAATACAAAGTATACCATATAACTTCTTTTTTTCAACTGAATTTGTGTAATTTCTTATATTTTATAGTGGTACCTAAACCATAAACCCTAAAACATAAAACTATCCTAAACATAAACTCATCCGTAACATGTCAATAACTCAGCCTTTGGGCGAGAACTTGAAAGTATTTTTGTACTAGAACTTGAAAATATTTTAACCCATACATGCCTCAACTCTATATAACGATGTAATAAAGTAACTTTTTCAGAAGAAAAAGTTGGGATTAGGGTTCTAAAATAAAAATGTCTTCCTCATCTAACACTATCTCATCAGGTAAATTTCTTAAGGTTTTGCTCCTATTTGACTTCCAAATTAATAGGATTTCGTTTCAGGAAATGTAAACCGACTACGTACGAATGGGGAGAGAGGAACGCCAAAACAGTGGTGGTGTGGTGCAGCCTCAGAGATATGTACATGCGGATCAGTTACAAATCCAGGAAGATTGTACTATTGTTGTGCAAGAGGATATAATAAGGTTAAATTTTGTTCGTATTTGCCATATATTCATTTTGTGCTACTGAGATCTGACTATATTAGTGCAAGGAGAGACATTTATTCAAATGGGCTGATGAGTGTTTGGTAGAAGAGGTTGAGGTGAAGTTAGTAATGAGTGACATGAACAAAGACTTGACGGATGTCAAAGCTAAATTCGGTGGGTTTGAGAAAGATATTGAAGAAATCAAGACGGAATCAGAGGTACGATGTGTAAGGAATATGGTGGTTTGTGTGTTATTTGTGGGTATTTTGCTATTATTCGTTAATGTAGTCTTGTATTGTAAGTCAGGCATCACTTCTCAATATTTAATGAACTCAGTTGTAATAGAGTATCGTTTTTGTATAACTCAGTCGTAAACTTCAATAACTCAGCCGTGAATTTCAATAACTCAGCCGTAAAATTTAATAACTCAGCCGTGACTTTCAATAACTCGGCCGTTAACTGAGTTTGAGAATGGGCCGTTTCGTATTTATGGAATATTTTAAGAGATCATTAAATCAATAACTCAGCCGTGTTATTTAGTCAAATCAGCCACTTTACATTATTAACTCAGAATTTCATATTTTAATAACTCAACCGTACTATAACTCAACCGTGGTAGAACTATAACTCAACCTAATAATATCAATAACACAGTTTTATATAGAACTCAACCGTAGTAGAACTATAATCAGACTTATAAAGTCAATAACACAGCCTTCTATAGAACATTAAAATCCATAACTCAGCTGTAATAAATCCATAACTCAGGAGTAATACAATCAATAGTCTACATAATTGAAATTGCGAAGAAAATCAAAATAATAATACATCTTCACCACTCCCTTATGTTAATAATCACGCTCATCGGTTCAAACTCACGGAAGAACATCTCAATCTCTCAACCTGTTTATTGAGAGCTATTAAAAAAAAATAGTAATATAAAAAAAATTTGCATGGTTTTCACAATAAGTTCTAAAATTTGTATTGTTTGAGTTAACTTCCTAAAAAGAAAGTTTTAAACTCATCACATGTGCTCTCACGGAACGAGACTCCTTTTGTTAAACGTTACTATTGTGCATGAGATTCAAGCCGATCCTATGGGACCCTAATTTTTCTCTCATTTTTTCCCAAATTCAAGGAAAAACCGGGCTTCGTAGCCTGGTGGTAAAGGAACCTCGGCTGAGGTGCCCGCCATCCGACTTCGAATCCCGGCCACCAAATAATTTACCTGCGGAGTTGGTGTGGCGCTCCAGACCACTTAGCGTAACCAGGGGCCCTTAAGTGGACGCTTAAAAATCCTGTCATGGCATGGGCTTAGGCCCGGTGGGCTAGTCGATCACGCTTAGTGGTCGGATACTGGGTTATCAAAAAAAAAAAATTCAAGGAAAAACGTACTAAAGGAAAAACGTACTAATCCATAATGAATTAACAGATATCTAATGATAGTTAATAACACCGATAGTACAATTAAATGGACCCACGTTTATAACGATGTCTGAAATAACCAAAGCCCAACCAGACAATTCAGACGATATTTTCTTGTTTTCTTATGCATGTGATTTATTATTGGGTGAATTTGCTGAATAAATCAAAAAAAGAAGTTATTTAGGAATTTGCCTTAGTTTAGGGGGAAAAAATAATAATGGGGGGAGGAGAGAGAAGGGGGAAATAGGATATCTAGCTAATTTGGAGGTTTTGTGTGTATACACAATGCAAATACTCTTTATTTTATTGGCTGAGAAAAATATTATAAACAATTAATTCAGTACAATTTGGTACGGGATATACTTAAAAATCTTTCGACCATGTGATCAATACTTTATTTGATGTGATCTATACTGATTAAGTCCATACGTATATATATATATATAACTTTGTTAGTATCTTCTATATATTAAAAGAAAAATATTATCATTTAATGTGTTCACATTACGTTTACTACGTGACAATCTTACAACGATTTGAGTATGATGATGTTGTCACGTACAGAGAGTTTCTCGGCCAAATTTTACATAAATACGTTTACACTATATTATTTTACATTCTTTCACTAAAAAATTTACATACACAGTTCTGAAGATTATACAAAAATTCTATATAGAAAGATAATTTACAATAAAATTATATATTGTCTAGGTTTATTTTATTTTTACATAATTTATTTTAAGAGAAATTATATTTCCTATTTTATTTTGAACAAAAAATTTCTTTAATGTTAATTACGGTATCTTTATATATTTATCAACTACCTCTATATATTTTTTACATACACATACATGTAAGAGTGGGCACAAATCAGATATTCGAGGTTTTGGAGGTATTTGTGATTTAATATATTCGTTCGAATAATCAATTATCCAATTCGATTCGATTCGTAACCATCTAGATATACAATATCTAGGAGAATTATATTTTAACGAGTTTTGATCCGTAAAAATAAAAAAAAAAATCTAAAATAATAAATTTTCTTACAAAATTAAAAAAAAAACTTATTTACTTTTCGAAATACTAATACCTAATTTAATAAAATTATTAAATACAAATATTTTAAAACTTATATATAATATATTATTTATATAACTTATATATATTTCATTAAATATATGTATATATATAAGCATATAACATATTGGATCGAATGTCCTTTTTAAAAAATATTTGTAGATTTGCGGCGTTTTTAACGGATATTGCATATTAGTATTTTTTTTCTTCGTAAAGTTACAGATATCCAAATTTTTTATTCGAATCGAAAATGATGATGAGTAAAATCAAAACCCTACATACATGTACACAGTGACTTGATCACCTATATAACTAAATATTCACTACAAGTGATGATTCTAATTTTCTTGGAAGCTAAAATATTATTTTTAATGGTTTCATTCACCATCGACCAAATTGTAAGGAAATAAATTTTCTTAATATTTTTTTTCATTTTCTTCAATTATTATCTATATTTAATTTGATTTTATTTAATTTTTCATGCCTTTCGAAATTATAATATGAAACCATTGGTTTGACATCAAAACTGTTTAAAATTCATATAACAAAAATAATAATATTTTTGGTTATCATTAAAAAATCTAAAAACCTCAAACATTTTAACTGAATAACAGAATAAATATTGATTAAGAATAGTAATTATTTTAATATATTAAAAACAAAAAAAAAACTAACATAAAACCAAATCAATATCCAGATTAAACCTATGTTACGTGGAAACGGAAGTGGGTACGCGCAAGCGGTAGAAAGCGCGATAATGTAATTTTGAAATATTTAGGAAGCAAATACATGTTGAAAACATATATATATATATATATATATATATATATATATATATATATATATATATATATATATATATATATATATATATATATA